CAGAACACTCTGAGTACATAGAATCATGACCTTGTCTCAAAAAAGAAAAAGAAAGAAAAACAACAACAAAAAATCTGTGGAGTATTTTTTCTTTTGATGGAAAAAATACAGATGGGATCTGGGACAAAGCCACCCATCTTTTGTTCCTTTGGACACTAAATGTAATAAATAGTTTCCTGCATCACAGAGGAGAATTTTAAGTGCTTTGTTTCTGTGGAAGTGGGACAGGGATCCTGGCAACATCTGTCAACCCTCCCAAGTGCTTCATCGTGACTGCAGCTGGCTAGGCAGGCAGCGTCTTTCCTGGAAGCCCATGGTTCGGAAAGTGAGGCCTCTCTGCACTGTCCCCCTCTGCACTGTCCCCCACCTGGAAATTCACTCACCAGGAGGCTTCTCAACACTATCCAGGACCCACTGAGACAGAACCCAGCGGCACTCCACCATCTACCTGCTTTGGTCTCCAGGTGCCTTTGGCCAAACTGAGATCTGAGAGCCTTCCAGCTGTGACTGGGGTACCAGGGCCCTTACACAGGCCCACAAACTCATAGGTGACCTACGAAACAAAAACGAGCATGGGAGACCCAGCTCTCTGCTGATATCCCCAGCGTGACCATGGCCAGGATAACGCACTCCGCTCAGCCTCACTCTTGCTCAACCTCACAAACCTGGCAAGACTTGGCCGATGGTAGTGGCAACTCCTCAGGGAAAGGGCTGCGTTCTGTAACTTCCAATCTATTAATAGTTCCCATCTACAAATCCACACCAATGCCAAAGGGGCAAACTTTCCAAGGTGGGTTAACTATCTCACAGCACTAGCTGCTGGCCCCAAGGGGTTTTCTCAGCAGCAAGACAGCCAAGCAAGCACTTCCCGGAACTACAGGGCACGCCCTGAGCTGCTCACCCTGTCCCTGAGGCCGCCTCACCTGGGACTGGCTACAGAACCCAGGTCTACTAAAACAGTCAGTCCCACCCTGCCTCCCCAAAGCCCAAGATGTATCCTGATTTTTAAAAAAGCTGTTGGCGCACTTCAAGGGCCTCAACCCCTTTCATATGGGGCTTGAGTACGATTGGACTGGCCTAATTAATTCGTTTTCTTCTCGGTCCAAGTGGAAGCTGGAGCTCGGGGATGCAAATCAAATACAAACCCGCTCTGGGCGCCAATACTCCGGACAATTAAAACAAAGAGCGCGGCGGCAGCGGCGGCGGCACCGCACAAAACCCTGGGGAAACATCCAGAACGTGTCGCCAATCAGGCGGCAGGGTGGGGCACAGCCTGGGCTCTAAATGTGCAAGCAGGAAAGCGGCCCCGAGCCCTTCAGGTGGACAGGTGGAGGTTGGCAGGGGTCAAAATCCATCCCTAAGGATTAGAAGCGAAGCGGCTGCGTGGCTTAACTCTAAGGAAGCACCCTCGGCCCCCGCCCTGCGGGAATGGCGCCCCGGTTACAAGTACCCCCCTTCCACCCCGCGCCCCCAAGCTCCTAAACAAACCTCACTGCCTAGTGCCCGGGCGCGAAGTGGGAATGAGCGGCGTGCAGCAGGGTGGGCACTGGCGGGAGATACAGGAGGGAGCGATGGAGAAGGAGGGGAGTTAGGGAGAAAGGACGTGGAGGAAAGGGAGAAAGTGGGGAGAAGAGGGGGTGAGGGAAGGGGAGGGGGGGAATCGCGGACTGCAAGGGCGCGGAAGGGGCGGAGGAGGAAGCAAGAGAAAGGGATGGGGGCGGCCGAGAGCCCCGCGGACCCGGCGGCGAACAGCGGCCTGGGGGGGCGGGACCACGCGGTCCCCACCTGCGTGGGCGCCCACGGCCCCTAGGGGTGGACGCCGGGGGCTGGGAGGGAGCGACCGGGGAGGCGGGCTGGGCAGGGAGGCCGAGGGAGGGAGGGGACGGGACTGCGAGCGGGGAGGAGCCGGCGCTCGGCTGGGGCTGCGGGGGCGGCGGCGGGAGCGGCGGTGGCGGCGGCGGCGGCGGCGGGTCCGGTGGCGGCGGCAGGTGGCCCCGCGCGCGGCGGGCCGCCGGCCGGGGGCGGGCGGGAAGGTGGCGCCTCGGGCGGGGGCCGGTCCCTGCACCAGGTGACCTGTTCCGGCCGGGATCCGGGCGGCCTCGCCATGCAGTGGCGCGGCGCGGGGCTTTGGTGGCCACAGCGGCGGCAGCAGCAGCAGCAGCCCCCGCCGCCCGCGCTCGGTCCCCGGGCCGCAGCCATGGTCCCCCCGAGCGGCGGTGTCCCCCCGGGCCTCGGCGGCCGCCCTGCAGGCGCGCTGCTCCTTCTCTGCTACCTGGTGAGCGCCGGACCCTACTCGGGTCCTTCCTTCTGCCCGGGCCCTGGGGACAGGCGGGTGGGGTGGCCGCGGACCCCAGTCTCAGGAGGTGGGGAAGACGACGCGAGTTTTCTCTCTTCCTTCCCATTGCGCCCCGGGCACTCCCAGCAGCTGGGATGAGTACCCGGGTGCGTGGACTGGACTTGCCAGCTACTCTCACTGGAGTCCATTCCTCTTCCTCACGGCCTCGCTGAAGACCAGGGCCAGGTTCCCCTAGAGTACCCTTCTTGTCCCCAGTGACACCGGACCCTCCCTACCATGCACTCGCCTGCAGCCCCTCGGAGCGCAGCTCCCCAGCCCTGTCCCCACCCATGCTTGGCTTTCCATTCACCTTCCTTAGCTCCTTTCCTTCTTGTCCCCAACTTCTTCTCCTTCTCCTCTGCCACCCACCCCGACCCTTCTTCGAGTTTTCACTGGTTCCTCCTGGCCCGGACGGTTCTGTGCCACCGCACCTCCCGTTTCCAGAGGCTCTTCAACTCCTTGGTCACTCCAGCCAAGTTGCGGATGCCAGAACGGAATCTACTTCTTTGTACCACGCTTACCGCCAGAGTGGTGACTTTAGCTGCGTCTTGAACGTTGTCATTTCAGAGCTGCATTTGGCTTATGCACGTCAGCTTGCAATTTGCACACTACTTGCCTTCTGTTAGACTTAAGAACTAGATGGCAGTAACCTATTTTAAATACCAGAGTAGTTGAGACCGTCCCCAGAGTATGGTGAGGAGGTATCGCCCAGTTCTTTGGATGACTTGCTTTCTCCCATTTGTTCCTGAGTTCTGAGCTATAGTAAATTTACCGAAGGCTACACCCTTGCTGCCCAGCCTACCTTATGTTCCAGGATCCTGAGGAAAGCTTGGGTTATCTCACCGTATATTACTGTAAATAAATGAAAAGGAAAATGCTGAATCATGAAACTGATGTAATAGGAAATTCACAGAATGCTTAAAAAACGAGCAATGTCCTTGTCCAGAACCCCTTTCATGTGGCACCGCCAGCACTTGGAATCTGGTCTTCTTGAGAGCTCAGCTGCTTGGGAGATGGTGACAGAAACTGGAATTTGGGTTTGAAGCAATTTGTCACCTCACCCAAGTTTGCTGTTGTTTTAAACACTCTTTACTTCTTGGCCGTTTCATTTCTTGAGTGAAGACAGTGCAAAAATGCAAATTATAACTGTGCCCCTCTCTACCTGTTGAACAATCCTTGCTTATACTTGTATTTTAGAATTTGCCAATGCCAATTTTTGTGGTTGGGTTTACTTCCTGTTTTTATAATAAGTTGCCAGGTAATGGGAATGATTTTCTTTTGCCCGAGGGATGTTATTATTTAATATTTATGCCATAGGGTTACAGTACACAGACTCATAAATAAAGCTGCCATGACAAATGACAGGGTTTTCATTTAAACAGATGATCCTGCACACAGGGCACTGCTGGTTAGCACAGAAGCAGGATTTATGTAGTTGAGCCTTTCATGAAATATTTCCATGCAGGTAATCTGGAAAGTTCCACGTGAGAATCTCAAGGCTTGGGAGGGGGGTACTTCTTGACAGCAGATGGAATCAGAGTAACAAGTGTAAAACCTAATGGCTAACGTGGCAGAGATAGAAGGCGGACCAAGTTCTACGCTCACGAAGGGGGGGTTGGAGGAACAGATCCAAGGTAGCAGTGGGTAGCAGTGTCAACAGGAATGACAGAGGGAAGTGATGAGGTGGAGCTGTAGTGTGGAGAGTGGAGCGTGAATGAACGACTTGGTAGTTGGTGGAGGAGTGGACATGAGAAATGATGGGGGACACCTGTCACTGTCCCTGGTTCCTTCTGGGGGGGGTGCTTCTGATATCCTGCTAACAGAGACTTGAATGAGCAAGAGAGCCAGGCATCACTGACTGAGAGGGGTAAGCTGAAGCTGGGTTCCAGAGGCAGCCGCCACGTTTTGTTCTGAGGGCCCAGCCGTGTGCTGATGATCGTGCCCTCCTGGGATGGTCTCCCTGAGATGTTTGTGAAAGGTGGAGCTTCTGGATCTAGCTAGATCTTAGAGAAACTTGGGGTGTGAACTGAGGAAAATGTAAACGTGTCTCTCCCTCTCCCTCCCTCCCTCTTCCCCCCTCTCATTCTCTCTCTCTCTCTCTCTCTCTCTCTCTCTCTCTCTCTCTCTCTCACACACACACACACACACACACACACACACACACACACACACACAGATATGAAGAGATCAGGAAACAATGAAGATGCGTTATTGTGTGAGTTCTCCTTGATCAAGGAGTGCTTCCTGGAGGAGCTGACTGGTTGGGAGCTAGAGGCAGGCAGGTGGAGCAGAGTGTCTAGACAGGAGCTAGTGGGGAAACCCATTCCAGAATTTAGAAGCCATAATAACAGCTTCCATTGTGCTAAGTCACGTGTGGTCGCTGTCTAGTGTTAATCTCAGTAATACCCTTTGTGAGATAGGAGCTGTCATGATCTCCACTCCAACGAGAGAGCGGTCTCAGAGAGGTTAAGCCAGCTGCTGCAGGCCACACAGACAACCTGAGATGAAGCTCAAGTCAGCCTCCTCTCCAGAGCCCTCACTTCGACCTATGCTCGCTCACTGGCTTCTGGAGTGTGCTCCTAATGGCCCATTCCCCCTCTTGCATAAACGTATAGTCAGTCCATTAGCAGAGCTCCAGCAATTAGCAGCTACTGTGCAACTGTCCAGGATGTGAGGTCATGTCTCAAGTAACCTAAAATACACAAAGCAGGAAGGACAGGCCACAGAATAGAAGCAGGATGTTAAGGAGGAAAAAAAAAAAAAAAAAAAAAGTAAACCCAGAAACTATTTGCCATCGGTAAGGGTGAGGCAAAACCCGGGTGCAGCATCTGTGCTTTTATCATGGTGTCCTAAGCAGATGGTGACCAAGCAGTAGGGTGCACTATGATGCCAAATCGCTGACGACTTGGGGGTTCATTTCTATTTTATGCCAGCCTGCCCACAGGCTGGGATGCAGTGGCGTTCTGAACATGCCCTTTTGGGGAGCCTGTCCACTGGAGTCAGAGTTCTGAGGAAGGGCACCTCCCTTCTTCATCAGCTGGGACCAAGTAACCTGCAGTATCGGTCCCCAGGAGTACTGTGACTGTAGCTAGGATGCCTGCCCGAGCATGAATAATTGTGATGAGGTTTGAAAGAGAAGTCCGGAAGCCATGCCAGACTGATTTCTGAAAAGGTGATTCCTGGTTCCAGTGACTGCCCCGAAAATCCTGGGGTCACCAAAGGTCAAGATGCTGAGAGCCTCCAGGGAGAGTGAGGGCCTTCAAAGCACAAGGTTGAATTGCTTCCTCGGAAGTCACTGCTACCGAGAAGGCACTCACCCTGCCCCACAGAGCCTCTTGCTGTGTTCTTACAGCATCAATGCTTCCCTTCCTTTCCTGGACTTGCTAGAACGGGTCCTAGTCCTGTCCTTGACATTGGGGCTTCTGGAAAGCAATTCTGTCTCTCTGAACTCTAGTCTCGAATGAATAATTTTTTTTTTTGTTAAGTGAGAAAATAAATCTCACTGTAGGCAATATTGATGTCAGCTGTATAGCTGAGTATTCAGAGTGGACATTTGAGCTTGTTAGACAACTAGGGACAAAGAAATAAGAGGACATTAGCAGCTCAGATATATGTAGAGATCGTTAGCAGACGGCGGCTATGATAGAGTCTTGTACCGGAACACCTGTGAGTGCGTACATCCCATCCATTATCCACCCAGGAGTATTCATTACCCTTTCACGTTGTGCGACACAGGATATAGGAAGTTTAAGGAAAAAATTATGCTAGGGACCCTCAGTTACTCGGCTTAGGGAACTGTGATTATGGATATGTGGAATTCAGAGGTAATTGTCAAATTTCATATTTACCAGTGACATCCCCGTTCATCCTGACCATCTCTCTTGACTCTCCCATGCTGTGGCCCCTGTCTTTTACCTCCTGTTTTCCCTGGCTGCCGAGAGTGCAGGAGCCATAGGAAATGTGGAAGAGAAGAAATAAAGGACCCAAGCAATTCTCTGAGATGATGGATAGGCTGGCGCAAACCATAAATAGCCCAAAGTGAATTCAGTTACTCTGTCTATTGGCTTGTCCTGTCCCTCTGAGGGAGGGACTGAAGGAAGAGGTTGAGGAATTGCTGACAAGGTTCTGCCTTGGCAGCTCCTGCCTCCTCTCTTACCTGGAGAATGGCTTACTCATGCTGGTGTGGACACCCAGGCCCATGCGTCGCTGTGTGACATACAATCTCTTCCCTCCAAGATTGACCAGGGGGAGACTTGGTCCTTCCCGCTTCTAAGATGAGATACTGAAGTCTCCAGTTCTCCTCAGCTTAAGTCAGCGTGGAGACAGGAAGTCAAGTGAGCTGAGGGTATCATTTGGGGGTGTTTCTGGAAGGCAAGAGACACGAGGCTAAAAGTGAGTGAGAAAAGAAAAAGAAGAAGAAAAAACAGAAAGATTGACGGCACCTGCCACAGTGGCCAGCACATAGTAGGCCCCAGTGAAAGAAAACCAACCCAACCTTATTTGTCCTTGTAGGGTCTGAGTTAGGATGAAAGAGCATGCTGACTAGTGTTGAGGGTTTCTTACACAAGGAGAAATATTGATCGTGGTTGGGATGGTGCATCTCTGGCCAGCTCTGGCTGGGAAGGGATGGTGCTTCACGGGACATGTCTCCCTGGGCACATCTTGACGGTGAAGGCCACGTTGACATCATTGTCCAGTCTGCATAATTGCATGCTTTGTGGATATCAAGAGAAGTTTTGCTTATGTAGTCAGCAGAAATTGAACAAAATGGGACTTTTAAGCCAATACAATTACTTCTTTGACCTATGGAAAGTTTGATCCAGCCAGTTTGGAAAGAAAATGTTCTGGAGCCAAGGTCTTCTTAGGTGATGGATGGAATGAGTGGGCAGGAACGAGAGAAACAGGCACTATTATTGTTTGCATATCTGATCTGCTCCCAC